ATAAAATGGTATAACAAAACTGACAAACTTCTTCCTTTTCTGTTTACATTATCTGCCCTATTCTTGGTTTCATAGTATCTCCTGCTTTTTATTCAGTTATTTTCTTCAACATTCTTATTTTTCCAGATTTTTTTTTTCTATTTTGTCATCATGCTTTGTAATTTGAGAGACTAACTTCCATTCTACCACCTTTTCCTTGAATGAAGAAGCAGCTCTATCATATGTGCTATCCTTCAAAAATTATTTTTTTTCATTATGTGCTCACTGTATTCTTTTTGCTATCAATCTGAAAAAAAATTAAAATTTGTGTCTTTGAAACATTACTTGAAATTGGATTAGGAGCCAAAAATCCATTGATACCCGTACAGTCAATTTCTAACCAATTCTTGAAAAAGAAAATTACAAATTCTAACAGTTTATCTTTTAATCCTTCTTCAGATACCCTAACATACTGGGTTTATCACAGTCAGATCTGCTTTTTTGTTTCTGTCAAGGTAGATGTGACACATCCTTTAGCATATTCCTCTAAGCAAGGAAACCATCTCCTTGATATTCCCCATCTTCATTTGTCCATCCTGTTACGGGCTTCACAGTGAAATCATTGAAGATAAACAGGTCAAGTGATGATCACAGTGGTCTTAAATTTACTGTCATATGCAAAAACCTTTTTCTAGCATTACCACAGTATTTAATTTATGTTGGGTGGCAGAGGTTCTTAATGGATTTTGATCACTTGAAGAACTTCTAACAGTCAAATAGTTGCTTACTGAGATTTCAAATATTCCTACATAGTTTTCTCTTTGACAAAATACTGTCTATGAAAGAGACCAGACAAAAAAGTACAGGTTAGGGATGGTAATCATGAAAAAAGAGGATTGTCCAGTAATCTGAAGTTCATGTGTGAAAATGTCCTGGTATTTCTACTACTCTGCTGTTGAGACCTCAGTGTTATAATGCTTTGACAGTGTTAGTGAAAATGAAATCTGCCACTCAGCTGTTGGGACTGATATCAGTGCATATGCTGGGAGAAGTCCTCCTGCACGCAAGTTTTAGGGACTGAAGTTACATCCGTAAAGCTTGACTGAAATACCTTCTCTTCTGAATGTTGCTTTTTATATTTTCTTTTTCCTTACTGATTTAGCTATGATTAACTGACCGATTTTTTTCCAGAGGATAAACATGTGGAGCAGTGTGGCAGTTGACCTGCCACGGATTTGACTAGAGGGAATAACCATTAAGTAGATAAATTAGAGCAAAACCTATACATGTGTGTCATTTTTCAAAATTTCTTGTTTACTGTTTTCACTGATTCACCTTGAATCTCTTCTCTGTGTCCCTCGGTGTTATAATGAAAATGTGATTTATAGTCATACATCTTTGTTAAAGACAAATAATATGTTATTTTTATCAGAATAGAGGAATGTTGGGAAGTATTATGAATTCTTTTGAAAACTGCTCCCTGTTGAAAGTATCCTGTGTTTGTTTATTCTTTAATTAGAAAATAAAGGACAGTCTGTAAAATAGAGTGCCAGCCGATTTAAAGCTTAACATTTAGGAAACCAGCATACTCCAATCTTTGTTCTGGGACAGCCAGAATACTCATTAAAGTACATGATCTACATGTGCAACATAAGGATTTACCATTATGTTATAATGAAGAATGCAACAATGGTACAAATCGAAACAGGTTTTGAGTTCATGCAGAGGAAGAAAGAGGAGGGAAGCAGACAGAACCTTCATTTAAATGTCTGGTGTGGAACGCTAAGTTTGTTTTGAGATCTCAAGGTTACGAGATGATCAAGAAGAATGTTTGCCTACTGGCAGTAAATCAAAAGCTATTGTCAGCACCACTTAATTATAAACTTCTCTTGTAAACCATTGATTAGACAAAAAGGAGTTACAGCTATCATTTATTGAATTACCTTTAATTTCTGTCTAGTGTTTTTCCTGAGGCAGACTGCGAGTCCATGGATAGACTACAGAATAATTAGACATACTTAAAATTATTTTACCTTTTGGAACCAAACCTATTGTTGGCTTTGGCACTCAGTATTATCTCTATGACTAAAATATTTTATTCCAAAGCTAGATTTACAGAAAGTAAGGAAAGAAAGGTGAGGTTAATCTGCAAATGTGAAGGTGTGGTATTGTAGACACTACGATTCATTTCCACATCCTCTTATCTAAAAGTTAGGCACCAAGTTTAAGGCATTAAGTGTAGTCTCCTCCTGTAAACAAGAAAAGTGATTCCACATCTTAGTGCTCTACACTAGGAACAATTCTGCCTGAAAATATTTTTCTCCTTGTTGAGTATTGAGGGATGTAGACAGTTCCTTTAAGCGATTAACTTAAACTGACTTCCTGACAACTGAAGTACAGTGAGACAAATTCTGCCCTTATGAATGACCCAAGTTATTGCTACCAGTTTTTACTGTTATTAATAATTATTACTAATTTTGATTAATGCTGTTAAATGTGTCGATACTAGTTAAAAAATGCTAATTCAATAAAACAGAATGCTTATTTTTGAAAGTAGTCATTTTTCAAGAAAGAAAACAAGTGACAAAGAAAAAAATGCAATTGAAAAAGCTTAGTAGTTAACAGTTATTCGATATATGTGTTTTTTCCAGGTGTGCTCATCTACACATACCTCTCTTTAATCCTACATATGAAACTCTGGTGCTAGAAATCGTTAACAGCAATCCAAGCCATTTTTCAACTAAGACTGATCCAAAACACCCTGTAAGTAAGATTTCTGTGCTTTCACAGAAGTGGTACAAGACAGCCTTCTCTTCAAAATGTATTAAGTTGTGTATCATACTGTGGATTCAGAATGCACAACATAGTCTCAAGGGTTAGAGGCTTTATAAGTGTGTATTGTAGGGATTTTATAGCTTAAGGACAAAAACAGTTGAACTTGTAAAAAAAACACAAGCTGAAATGTGGATGTTTTCCCCCTGGTATGCTTTGTGGAGTGGTTTTGAGAAGGACAACAGTCTTGGTTCCAAATAACATTCGGGAGATATTAGAAGCTGTAAATAAACCAGCTGTATTAAAAGCTTCACAAGATTCTAAAAATCAACAGGGTGATTAGTTAAATATTTAGGTAAGTAGATAAAATGTTAAGGTAAGAAGATAGCAATATCTCCTAGTTGTGGCAGTTATAACCGACTTGCAGAGCCTATGAATAAGAATTTGATCAATTCAGCCACAAGAAAGCTTCGATTAAATAACTGGAATAATTTTAGTCTCCAAAGTCACATTTACCCTGAGACCGATTTCTACTAAGAAAATCTGCATCCTGTTACTATTATATACACTACTTTTTCCTTCTCTATCACAGAAGCCCTTCCTTCTTGCTGCGTAACGTTTTTGTCCTTTTGTCCTGAGAGTTGTATAAATGGGCTAAGCTTTCATATTTTCATTGAGATTGGCTAGAGTTCTAGGTGGTCAGAACCCTGAAAAATATTCATTATTGAGCCCTGATTACTGTTTAATAGTACAGGTGCTATAAAGAACTCTTTGGATGCTATTAACAGTTCATGCAATTAAATAATTAAATGTGTCCTTTGTATGATGGAGAGATGAGAAAAGGGAGGACAGATGTGTGGAAACTCTGGTTCAAAGAGTTAGGGGGACCTCTTATTAGGATATGAATATAGAACCTTTAACATGAGAAAAGAAAATGAAGAAACATGTTGCAGACAGGAAAGAAATGACAATTGAACATTTTCTAGATATGAGGAATATAATACAGGGAAGACAGACACCAGAGCTGGTTCATTTGTGCAAACTGTTATAACAGTCAGAGGGACAGGAAAGGAATATTGTAATAAGATCCTAAAATAAATCTGAGAAGGAAGAAAACGGATTGAGTGGGGAAGATAGAGGAATGTCATGAAATCATAATATGTGCAGTTTTGGCTTTCAGAAACTAAATAGCTTTCAGCCTCAAATACAGCAGTACAAGAAGGCCAAATGTTCTTAAAAGGGGCTTTAAAGAGAACAGCTGAAGGGGATCACACTTATTTACTGAATTGCCCTATATTCTGCACACATTAGGACAGTAAATTAAAAGGATAAAATGTGAAGTGTTTATTTTAGTCTGTCTTTTAGTCTGTCTTTTATGTCATGCATATTAACACATCTTCATACATTATGTTAAAACTCCATAAGTGCTATTACTAATAATTTCATCAATCAATATTTGAATAGGAGCTAGGAAACATAATGAGTGCAAACTATATGAATCATCTAAGGTTATTATATGTGTTATATTTAGGTCATTGGCACAGACATGGATTAGAATTAATTATAGTGAGTTTTGTTTCCTGCAGATTGCATGTTACCTTCTCCGGGAAATTAAAAACCAAACCAACAAACAAACAACAAACCCAAAAAATCTTCTTTCAGCTTTCCTTATTTATTACCAGTGATTCACTTAGCACCAGTATCCACATTACAATGCTTAGGAAACGACACATTCAGCACTAACTGCAGTAATCCCCTCTTCCCCGCTTCCCTTCTTCCCCTTTCCCTCTTTCTTCCCTTCTTCCTAGAATACTCCTAGTCCTTAGTGTCATCTGTTCGTTGAATTCTGAAATATTCTTTGTGAATTACAGTAGTTCTTCCAGTTAAAGGATAGCTTTGGTGAATTTGCTATAAGCAACTACCTTTTTTGAACTTCTTTCCTTCATTGCAAACCCATATTTGGAGAGGTAATGTGACTTCATTCACAGTTTTGATGACAAAGGCGGGAGAAGGATTTAAATATCAGCTTTTTCTCCTGAATATGTTGCATCCTAGCTTTAGTCCCTCCCTACAGCACTGTATTCAACTTCCAGAAGATTACTGCTTGTTCTTATAGACTGTAACCTCTGTTTCAGATATTGGTTTAAATCAATGTTTGCTTCAATGTCTTTGTGATATGTAGAAGAAATTTCCCATCTTAGTTTCTGCTCCATTCAAGTTTCTGCTCCTTTAAAGGAAGTAATGTTTTCTTGTCAGCAGAAAAACTACTGATTTGAGGGATCATCAGATGAAATGCAACAATAAAAAGCAAGTTATTAGAAAAATAGATTGAAGATGAGATTGTCCAATTTAGGTAATGCTTGAAGAGAATTACTGGGGTCATTTTAGAATTCTGCGTATTCTAAATCAGTAATTTTGTTATTTAATACATTTATCCACATTTGTCTTTATGTCATCTAAGATGTAGAACTGTTGAAAATATTGGGCTATCAGTCAGAAAATATCTCAAATGGATATCATCAGTCACTGAGTTATGTTAGATAAACCAGATTCAACAGATACATCTGAGAAAATGTTATCTTTCCTAGAGATTAATTACCTAAAATGTTAACCAAAATTTTGACTAATATTTCAGAATTTAAACAAATTTTAATATCATATTTATCATAATTCCGTGTGTGTGTCTGCCTTTCCAGTTTCAATTTGCAGAAGGCATTAATGAAATTCCACAAGGTGTTATTTTCTATAGATCTGATTAAAATTCAAGTAATGACATAATTAATAATAGGCTTTCCTGAGGTCCAGCTGAATTATGTTCAAGTAAAACCACAACTTCTAAGTGCTTAATGAAGTCCAAATGAAATTCGAAGGCTTTAAATCTCTGTCAGCTTCATGTAAATTAGAAGCAACTCCATTAACTTCTTTGTAAACTGATGAAAATGAGAAAAATATACATATCTTGTTAGTAGCTGTGTAATTGTAGCCTAAAACAGCTTTAAATGTAATACATCACCTTTGTTATCTTTCAACAATTAGATAAAAGTTTTCAAAGATTTCCTTTAATGTGATTTGGATTCTCATATCTTTTTTCTTTTTTTTTTTCTTTTGTTTTTTAGGAAATTATGTCTGATTTTTGTTTCCCTTCTTGACAGCTTTAAACTGTATAGGTTAACTTCATAAAAGCTGCCAAATTCTCTAAAAGTTGGAACATAAATGAACTCACATGCTGCAAAATTCCTAACTTGTTTTTCATTACCATATAGGGCATTATGAGTTACTGGGGAAACAGTTATTGGGATGTTGCATTTTCTGTTTCTTTCCTAACCACAGCTTTCTTTATCTCTAGTAGACAAGGATTCATATTCAGCATTTAACAGATGTAAATTCTCAATCATCAGTAATTCTGTGTTCCTCAACCAGTTTCCCTCTCTATAAATGCATGGACAGATTTTACATATATGTGTATTATGTTTATACACACATATATTTATGATGTAACCTAAATGTACAAAAAACTGTTAAAAATGGGATCATCTATATTGCCAAAAAGAAATGCTTTCACTGTAAATCTACAGCTATTCTCCTGACTTATAACTAGTTTAAACCTTTTTCAAGCTATCTTTCATCTTGATCGGCTATGAAACAAAATTTTTATTGAGAAAACATAAATTTATAAAGAAGGACTGCCAGAGAGAAGTGCAGTCTCAAAGTCTCTGTGTGCAACCTTTATTAGTTCATTAATGACCAAGAATATTTTAGATTTAATGAAAAATTTCCCTCCTTTGTTGGACTTTTAACAGGAACAACACATTTGTAGTTGCTCAGTCTTCTTCAGACTCAGTTTCTGTATTTGAACAGTTATATCTGAGATCACAGAATCACAGAATCACAGAACGTTAGGGATTGGAAGGGACCTCAAAAGATCATCTAGTCCAATCCCCCTGCCGGAGCAGGAACACCTAGATGAGGTTGCACAGGAAGGCGTCCAGGCGGGTTTTGAATGTCTCCAGAGAAGGAGACTCCACAACCTCTCTGGGCAGCCTGTTCCAGTGCTCTGTCACCCTCACTGAGAAGAAGTTTCTTCTCAAATTTAAGTGGAACCTCCTGTGTTCCAGCTTGTGCCCATTACCTCTTGTCCTATCATTGTTTGTCACCGAGAAGAGCCTGACTCCATCCTCGTGACACTCACCCTTTAAATATTTATAAACATGAATGAGGTCTCCCCTCAGTCTCCTCTTCTGCAAACTAAAGAGACGCAGCTCCCTCAGCCGCTCCTCATAAGATCTTATGAAGAGCAATGGTACCAGTTCCCTTTCACATGAGTGACTGTTGTTTATGTAAATAAAATAAAGGACAGGGGATGGGTTAACTTCAGCACATTGTATTGAATGATTGTGAGAAAGTGTGATCTTATTTAAACATGTTGTTAGCATTATTTCTCAATTCTAATATACAAAGCAATTTATTCTTTGTTTTTCAGTAGAAAGTAAGTTCTCTTATTTTACCCAGCTCTATTTCAAAACAAATTACTTTCTGGATGCAGTAGAACATCATACTGTGTAATATAAAATTGCATTTTAAAAAATAGATCTATAATATAAAAGGTAAAAATATTTTATGCTTTTCAAGCAGACAGTCTGCTGGATTATCATAACTCCGTGCCAATTATTTAGGTTGATTGTGGCACTGCATTTTCTGTGTAATGATAATATGTCAAGTAATGCTTATCGAAAATGGGATTCTAGCCTGCTTTCATCTTTATGGGAGAGTTAATATTCCAAATGATGTAGATCTTTTAGTGAAATTACTAAAAATTTGAAAATTGTAGTTTTAATTTTATCATGTATTCTTATGCTGTGGCAACCTGTGTTTACCTTACCTTTTCATTTCTTTCAAAAGTATTTCAGAGGGGATAATCATTAAGGTTCTTTCTCCATTTGTAAATCTTCCTTTGATAAATGGGGCTGGCTGGTTTGCACAAAGTACTTAGGAACTAGACAGCAAGTGAAAGTAAAAATTCTCAAAAACAGGTCTTTCTATACTGAGCATGCCCAGGAACTCACTGAGAAATGAGCTGTTCAGGCTTCTTTTAGATGATGAACAGCTAAATGAACTCTGGGCAGTGGGGCAGATGGGGATGGAGGTGGTTTGTGGGAGGTGACTCTCCCTCAGGTCTGTTATTCTGGGTAATACAGAAGCCTTGCAAAGGTAACAAGCATGGGATGGTGGCAGTTGACTGCTGGTGGCAAACGTGCTTTCAAGTTATCACCCACCTACGGGATGTACAAGATTGTGAAGTGTGGGCGACGCAGCAGTGATGTGCTCCCTGTATGGGAGGTGCAGGTGCTGTAATAGCTGAGTGGGAGTGGGTCCAGAACAGGGAGCTGTATTCTCTGTGTGTGAGACCCACCTACTTACCCTTCCAGAAATGTGTTTTGTCAGGCAATGGAAACTGTAAAATTAAATTTGCAAAATTTGAAAACATACAATACCACCCCCCCAATAGACAAGACAGCTGAAGTCTTAAAACCAATAAACTGTTATGGCAATATGCAGATTATTTTTATTTTATTGTAGTTATTTTAAAACTTGCCCCTCAAAAGAGAAAAATAACATTTCAAGTTTTGTGTGTTAGTTGACTACGTCTGAGCCCTCTCCTCTCCTCTGCTCAATCTACTTCCCAGTGCTACCAGTAGGAATATCCATTGTTCAAGATACACCAGCATCTCAGTCTGTTAGTGTGCCGGTACCCTACAGACACACCCAGAAGACGACTGGCAGGACCAGGATGCCTGTCGCCCTTGCCTGGGTCCAGCTCTGAGGTGGAAGGGAAAGCCACGAGGCAGTGAGGAAAAGCACCATACGCCTTATCAGGGCCCTCTGCCCTGGGCTGGGGGTGGACACCTCTGTCTCCGCTTCACTTTCTGGGGCCTCCAGTTTGGCCTCAGCACTGTGGCCATGGCCAATAGTCCTGGTGCTGCAGTAGGCCCCCATCCCTGTCCTCGTCATGGCTCTTCTTGCCGTCTCTGAGTGTGGTAGAACTGGGCTACTGGTATAGGTCTCTGCCCTGCCATGGCATAAGCTCAAGCCTTGCTCAGCCCCAAGCCTAGCACCGTATCAAAGCACAGGCAGTCAAACCCCTGGGGTGGAAAGAGATTGCAGGGTTTGTTGGTGCAGTCAAGCATCTTGCGGCCATTAAATGTAGTAAGCAAAACAAATGTTTTAATAACTCTTGTTCACTGCCTGCTAGCAACCCACTCTTCCAGGTCTGACATTTCCTTTATAAAAGGGCTTGTCAGTGCCAGCTGTTGAAGGGTGTTGTTTTGACCTTTATTAGTTGTAAATTATTTTTATTTTATAAAAAATATAAAAGTGTCCATAATTCCAATCAACTGTCTTTTTTATATCTTCCTACATGCACACATTTAAAAATATATGATATTAAAAGCCTAGTACTTTTAATTAAAACATATACACAGTAATTGTGTATTCAATGATTCTAGCTGATCATTCTCTCAATGCATTAGCGATTTTATTATTCATAATTCTATTCTTTCACTGCTTATCTTGTTCTTAAAAACCATTTATGACCCCATTGTAGTCAGCTACATTGCTTTTTCCTGTGCAATTGAGACTCAAGTAGTGTACTTCAGATGAAGAGAAGAGAAAGCTAGCAATATCATTTACTATGTTAGTTTAGATAAAGGTAAGAAAAAGAGAGGCAAAGCAGTAGTTTATTAAAACTTACCATATATTTCCCTTATAAGCCAGTTCGTGTCTTTGGAGGTCAATATGGTAACCTTTTAGTGTCATCAATATGATCAGACACCAAAGTCGTATTTGAGTGGTATGTGTGAGAGCAGCTGTCCATGTCCTTGGAGCAATCTGTGACACCAGCTCTGTGGTTTCTGAGGAATGAACGTGCAGTGATTGCTAGTGGGATTGTTTACTGCAGTACCCTTGCTGCCTAAGCAGCCTGTGCTTGTTGAGAGGGGAGAAAGCTTCTGGTGGAACACATTAATCACATAAACATCAACTGTCGATACAAAGCACAAAATAGACTCAAAAAAGTGATTTTTTTTTTCTCCTCTCTTTCTGTTGTTACTTTCTTGTATTTGTACAGCTGATTGTTGCTCCTCATTCCACCACAAAAGTACCTGTGCAGTTCTGTCCATCTGCCCTTGGAAAAGGCAATCACAAGGCATCAATCACCTTCAAATGTTCACAGGTATGATAGTATGTTTTCTGCACACAACTCTTGGAATTCAGATGAGATAATATTTTAATATGCATAAAAGTCAGAGTTTGAGTCTGAAGGTCAAGTTGAAGTTTAATGACTGGATGCATCATAAAAGAACAAATGCAAAGATGTTCAAAAGTTATAATTTGTTTTATCCTTAGTTTTACACAGAAATTATTCTCCTTTCGGTACTAAAATGTGGCATAATGGCCTAGGAGCTAGAATAAGTGATGCAGAATTTTAGCTTTCTTGGTAATTAGTTCTGCTGTTTTTTAACACCAGAGGGCCAACATTTCTTAGCATTGTCACCTCTGAAATTAAATTTCTTGATGTTTTCCCCAACCCCAAACAAAATTCAGTTGTTTCATCTTTTATCTGTTCTGAATTTTGGAAGTTCATGCACTTGAAAAAGTGAATTCTTCCTTTCAGCTTGTTTGAAAATGTTTTTTTACTTTGAGCATCTTAGAATTGTTGACCTTTTTTCTCTGTGAATTTTCCTAATTTTAAATAAGAAACAAGTAAATAAGCGTGACCCATCAACATGACCTACTAGCTGATTAAAAATTACAACTGCAAGAAAAAAAGAGTAACTGATAATAGGATGTTGCGATAATATTTCATCACATGAGCTGTGATTGAATGAAGCATTTGTTTTCCATGCAATTTCCTCTATGTATTCTTATTGAACTTTCAGATATCCTAATAGACTGTTGAACTGTGAATTACTCTGATTAAGCGCTACCAAGAGTTTTCAGTAGTGTTTTAAGTAATACTGCAAAAGCAAATATTCTTTTGTATGAAGAAAACAAATAGTGAAGGAAGTGGTGTGGCAATTTTTTTCCTGATAATGTGTGTTGAACAGACAGGTTATTTGTAGGTGATGTTAGCACAGCATTTATTTTCAGGATCTCCTTTAAATATTTATTAAGGATAAAAACAAGAAGCCAGCAGTTCTCATATGAATAGTATATATCCAAGGCCAGTTCAAGAGGACAGAATATCCTCATCTTGTCTTGATCCTGATGATACACAGAAATCATATCTGTATTTAAAAAAAGAAAAAAGAAATTCTTCACCAAATATAGAAGCAATAAAGCAGTACAATTCATTCGAACCTTTCAGGAACAAATTGAGCCCTGCCTCCTGAATTTTGTCATCCAGTGAATCTCCTTTCAAGTCATGGCAAATCTCCAAGTTTTCATCTGCAGTGAACTTTAGTCAGTATCCCATACTTCTTGTTGCTTTGTGCTGACCCCTTTTACTGTTTCAATATATTGATATAGCCTTTGTAATATCTTAGTGCTCTTTTTATGCCTGAATATTTTGAATTTTGTAAATCTTCATTTATTTTCACTGCTACAGTCCTTATTAAATTAATCTCAGACTATTCAGTTTGCTAATTGTTATGCTGATAGCTGACAGTGAATATAACTGCCCTTTTTAATGAAGACTTGAAGAACATTTCTCATCTGTGGTGGATGCCTCAAACATTGATTGCCCTCCCTTGATTTCTCTGATTAAATATATCTGAATGAATGCTTGAGCCATCTGATAGCTGAATAGCTGACTAAGCTAGAATCAGTTAATAACAGTGCTCATGGTCTTCACTGTTTCTGATTGTGCTCCTTGCTGAACTGAGAGAAGCTGCTCTGTTCTATTACCTGCTTCATTTGTTTCTGGTTTCAAGCTGCATGAAGAGTTCTTCACAAAGTGAGTCTGAGTTTAGCTCTAATAATTGTGAAAGTCTGAAATTAAGTTTGTTGGGACAGCACAACTTAAAGGTCAGCTTGAGCATAACCCACATCCAGAGTTCTGATATATCTGTATTATCCTAGTCTTTTACCACAGTGCTATTATCCAGGTGTAATGTAGAGAATTTAACAATAGTAAGTAATATTACAGAGAAGCTGAGCCTAATATTAGATCCTATCTTGTATTGTTTGCCTTAGGTTTCTGAGGTTTTAAATCTTTTTTCCTCTTGATTTCTTGCACTGAGTATACATGACCTTGAGCTCTGCCACATAGTGGGTTGGTGGAAAACAGTCACTGCAGGTCAAGCAAGGCAGGCCTGACCTATAATCTGTAGAATTTTTTGGTTGTCTCGTTTCATTTTCCAAACTGACCTCTAATTTTGTTTGACTCCTCCTTTAGCTGCTCAGTTTCAGTGTGTTGTTTTAAAGATGCTCAACACTTGAAGTAATGGAGTTCAAAATGTCTCTGCTTGTTAGCCACAAATCAGTAGATGCTACAGTCTTTAATGTTTATACACCATGAGCCTGAGCCTTCAGCAATAAAGCTCAAACTTAGTCTTTACAGCTCACCTGTGAAAAATATGAGCATGTGTACTCCTCCAACCCCTGCACTGTACATCTATGTAAAATTACTTGCTATGAATAAGATGGTTCAATTTACAGTAGTCATGGAATGTGTTGTTAGACTAATATCACCTCATAAATTCTATTTTAAGAATTTTGAAAAAAAAAAAATTGGTTACTGTTAATGTGTTTGTAAGCTAGCACAAAGTGTCAGTAACAAACCAGTGTAGACAATTAATAGCTTGACACATCCAGCTTTCAGAAAACATGGTCTTCTGGCATCCTTGTGCCTGTGTTCCTGTTCTTCAAAATAGGATTGCAAATTGTGCTCACCCTTTGGTTTGCCTTTAACTTCTTGAGGCAGGTGTGGTAAGAAAGAACATGAGTCAGGAATACAAATGCTCTGGCATGCTGGCTTGGCACTCTTGGACAGTTTCTTCTTGACTGTGGCCAGCAAAAGGGCTTGACTGAAGAGTTAGTCCTGTGTTGCTTCAGAGTCTGGGCAGCAGCAGCATTCGCCTTCTTGTCAGAATGGGAATAGTGAGCCATGCTGGCTTCCTGCTCATGAATCTAGCCATAAACATGCTATAGGTCTTGTTTAAGTCACCAATAAGCAAATAAAATGTAATTTCAAAGGGAGATAGTTTTTCAATTGTTGCTAGTCAGAATAATGCAGAAGTCTTCACAAACGAGACAACTGAAATCACTGTCTAAAACCTAAACAAAACACAAGCTCTATTTTTATATTCTGACTTTCAGCATTGAGTATTCTCTACATCATATATAAACATTTCTTCCTTTTTTTATTCTGTTAAAATCCTGTAGCTTTGGATAACTTTTACCAACTGTCACAGAATTGCACCAAAATGGCTACACGCACACAGATAATGAACTCAAACAAGCTTTAATCTGCAACTGAAATTAAGCAGACAAAACTTCATTCACCAAAACAACATCCCACTGACATTCAACAAATACAGGTTTGATATGGTGGTTGGGAATATCACCAGACATGGCTGAGTTAAGAATTCTTAAGTTTTTGGCCAAACAATCCAAAATGTGCACTCACTCACTCACCAAAAAGGGAGGGCTCTCAATCTCGAGAAGTTACATTAAGTGGCGTCCCAACTCAAGGGGAGAGTCCCTGACTGCAGACCCACTGCTCCGAGGAGGACTGACTCAAATGAGTCCTCCAGCGGGGCCCCATTTATACCCTGGTCGAACCTGATCTGTGGTCAATACATGGTCGTGTCACCCCCTACTGGCTGAGGACCCCAACTTTCCCACCTTTGACCCCCACTGTGTGAAGCTGTGAGGGGGGAGGCAGTCCTGGCGCCACCAGGGCCAGAAACTTTAGCACTGTCTTTGTTGGGTTTTTCTCAGGTCTTTAGTAGGGTGGGTGCATCTACCACACCAACAAATTTCCTTCTGTAACATTAAAATGTCTTTTTCTTTGTTGGATTGAATGTTTCTCTTCAAAATTATGATAATGACATGAAATTTTACTGTTCAAAGCTATTTTATGAAGACATATGATGTCCCATTTTATTTACCCTTGTTTATACTGAGAAGTCTCAATGAATTAGTCACCTTTTACAAGAAGTATTCCCAGATTTGGTTTTAGATTTTTAAACCCTGTCTATTACAGATTTTCCTTATTTTTTTTTCAGACAGGCTGTGCAGAAGTATATTCAATATTTCAGATAATGACAATAGTGTTTTGATTTTATTTATTATTTTCTACTCTCTTTGTAATGCATACCTTTTTGAGTGATAATGAACAAAACGGATCAAAGAGTCACCTGAAGCTGTTTGTAATAAGCCTCAGAGTTTAGTCTGAATGGTTATTACTTAATTTAAAGACCACAACATGAATGTACAAAATAAAGGCTTCCTTTAAAATAATGGTAGTATGTTTAATATTCAACTTTGCTGCTTATTCACCTTAAAGGCTCCATAATGAGCGACATTATTAATATCATTCTTTATAACCTTAAAAGAGTAAATGTGGAGCAGGCAATTCTTTACTGCTGCGCTGAAAAAATGATAAAAATTAACACATCAGTTTAATTATCTGTATCCACTAGTTATTTTCAATCTTTTCAATTCTTCAATGTATAGTGGTTAACATTCTTTCTTTGGAGTAACAATTTTAGCTTTTGGGGTGATTTTACTTCTGCCCCATCAAAGAATTCTTTGCCTTCTTCCTTTGTCTTTTAAAGAGGAATTCTCACTTCATCTGCTTTCAGGTTCTAATATAAGCACTTTGAATTGCCCTCTTGCAACCACCTACATCTTTCCATGCACAGGAAGTGCTGAGAAGATATGTGAAAGTTAAATACTCTGTGCTCTGAGTAGCACGGAAGTAAATACAAAGATGGGAACATCTCCCAAATGTGATTTGCAGATTTCCAGATGGCAATACTTAGAGCTACATAACAGCTTGAGGGAAGAAGAAAGAAAGAAAGAGAGAAAGAGAGAAATAAAGAAAGAGAGAAAGAAAGAGAGAGAGAAAGAGAGAAAGAAAGAGAGAAAGAGAGAAAGAAAGAGAGAAAGAGAGAGAGAAAGAGTTAAACAGTTCACTTACAATAAATAAGAGACATAGAACACTAGAAGAAAGAAGTCGGCAAAATGCCTTAAAATGTACAAATCTGACTTGTCAAATAATAAACAATGACACATGTTTCATCCACAGCTTAAAGAGTGGATCTTTTACCTTTCGGGAATTGGTCTTCCTCCTCAGCTGATGGAACCAACCAACATAAGTGCATGCATCGGCCAGCAGTCTGCTGTCAAACTGTCCTTCAGAAATCCAACTTCTGAAAACGTGTTGATAGATCTAGTGCTGACAGGTACAGGGGTTTGGGTTTTTTTGGGGGTGGGTGGAGCAACTTAATATCCTTGGATTGCATTAAAAGTGTGTGTGGGATATGATTACATTTGCCTCATTCCATTTCCTTGCCACAAAGATTTTGTGTATTATTTGTGTCCACCCTGAAAAGCTCTGTAGACTGTGGAGCAGGGGCTAAGAACTAACACAGACCTGTAACACCTGTTCACAGTGGACCTCTTAGGTCATACAGCCTCATATATAGAGGCAACTGGTTGTTGACCACGAACTACACTGTAGCATTTAGACAATAGGAGATTGCTGGGGTGTGTTTTGGAAGATGTATGTCTAAGCCAAGTAGGTAATGTTTTGTTTTGGTTTTGTTCATCAGTTATTTTCCAAATTATTTTATATTATTTTGTCAAATTCTAGATAGCTAGAAGAGTTAATAAGGGCAAAAGATTAGAATTGACCTTCCAAGCAAGTGTGTTTCGGGCATATTTTCAAACATACTTTAAAAAATATTATAAGACCCAGAATTATCAAAGATCACCAAGTCAGGTGACTTGGTGACACTGAGATTTCACAAATGCTGTAGAACTCAAATTGGAAGTCTCAGATTCTCCTTGATGACTGAGTGAAGCAGAGAGGTTCTCTTAATCACCAGCTATTCCAACATAACATGTAGCATCAGAAAAGAGATGATAAACCATTTTCTGGCATCTATGTATAACAAAAATTGAAGACATACATTCCAGCGGCCCCTGACTCAGACCCCATGGATGGGGAGATTTAAGAAAATGGCAAAATCAGACCTGTGCAAAGGTAAGTTTTAAGCCAGGTTTACACACTCATGCTATGATTTAGAGTTTGTGACACAGAAGAAGAAGAAGAAGAAGGGCTTTTAAAAAATGTGGATTCATGCGCCTTTGTTGCAATGAACTCATGCTTTTTGACTGCACCTTCTGAGATATGAATTAGAAATATGGCTCTAGTTGCATATACATTTAATATATGGGGGATTTTGGAGATTCTTTTGCCGAAATGATGACTGGTCAAGAGATTTTTGGTCTCATGACTGAATGCTCTATTCTTTTACTGATCAAGGGGTGGGGTTTTGGCAGAGTTTAATGCAGTTTCTTATGTTTAACCACAAAAATATTTTAATTCATGAGGTGTCACAAAATAGAGTTCCATTTGAAAATTAATAGACCATTTCTGAGTTTCTGTTATGCACTTTTCTGGACAACAGTGAAAGAAGCAGCAGGATGCAGTGGATCCACTTTTTACAGGCTAAGTAAATCGTGGCCAGGATGTCAGGGACAGTGCCAGAGTTTACCTGCAGAGCAGGAGATCTGGTAGAGAGAGGAAAAGAATTTTGTCCAGCCTCCTGCTTATCTAGCACCCTCAATTGACAAGGAGCATTGCAGACTGGGTCTGCACGTGGGTACAGGGCAGTTAAAGCAGCAGTTTGCATTCAGCGCACGGACAGAAGGCTCAACAGTGCTGCTCATCGAGCGGCAGTGTCAATAACATATTCCCTGTACTACACCTAGATGAGGTAGAAGGAAAAAGATGTAACAAAGGGGCAGTATACAAGTACCATGAGTGTAATTAGCAAAAAGTCAGGAAGGCCAAAGTCTATCAGGTGTGATGACTGACAGGGAAAGTATTGGCTCACAAGAAGGGGTTCTAAAGGTATGATAGTTGCATAAGGAAGCTTAGCAAAAATGCAGATAGGTCCAGTGATGCACCAGGACAGAGGGGTAATCAACTAGTTACAGACGATGCAGAAAAGGCTGTAGTGCTAAATGCTTTATTTTAAATTATTATTTTAATTTAACCTTTGACTTTGCAGGCAAAACTTGTTCCTGAAGCAGCATGTATTAACTTGGTTTGAAAGGAAGATGGGCAGGTCATAGGAGAGCAACAGACTGTGGACTGCTTGGAGCAGTTGGATGCATTCAGATCCATAAGTGCAGATGAAATTCACACATAGTGATAAAAGAATTGGCCAATGTGATTGTTAGACTGTGATTGTTCTCTATGAAAATTCATACTGATTAGGAGATGTTTCTGATGACGGGGGAAAGGCTATATTATTGTCTTCTTTTAAAAATGATAGAATTAAAACTGAGTGTTCGGTTTATCAGCCTCACCTCATCCCCTGGTAGGATCATTGAATGTGTCCTTTTGTGGTCTGTGCAGCCTGTGAATTGCACATCCTTTTGCGGTCCATTTCCAAGTATATCAAGGTCAAGAATGTAATCAGGAGTAGTCGAATGGACTTATTAAGTGCAAATCATGATTGCCTTCTACATGGAAATGACTGATGTACTACACCACAATTTAGTAAAACTTATGTCGCTGTGTCCTGTAGCATTCTTGTTTGGAAGCTAAGGAAGTCTAGGCTTGATGAATGGACTGCTGAGTGGGTTGAAAAGTTGGCTAAGCTATAGGTGTCAAATGATAGTGGTCAACATCTCGACAGTCAACTGCAGGCTGGTAATGAGCATAGTACCCCAGGGGTCAGTACTAGGGCCCATATTATTCAAGACCTTTATTGATGACATGGATGATGACAGAAAGTGCAATGTAAATTAGAGGAAGTGGCTGACATGATGAATAGTAGAGTAGTCCATGAAGTATCTTGATAAATTGTTGGAATACCCTTTTTTTCAAATTGCTCTTGTTCAACTCATCATCCCTGGAGCACCTGAAGGCACAGTAAACTTTTACATTGCTAGTAGTGCAATTTTCCTTCTAAACTGTTAACCCTTTGTATTTTTCCTCTCATTCCCTCCACCCTTTGTGCTTATCTTAGTTCAGACACTTACAGAAGCACTGTGAATTATTAGCTGTGCAAACCACCCTATTTGACAAGTGTAGCATACTTTATTCTAGTGCAGGCTGCAAGCTGGCATTCTGATTTGTACAAGAGGCATTATAAGAAGTAAACTGCTTGTTGATGATAAATCTAGTGCCAGGTAGTGGTTTAGTACTCTCATACTACTAAGTGTTACTTGTAAGAAAGCTAATCTAATGTTCTATTCACAAAATAATGGAAAAGAACGATCAAACTTATCCATGTTGCAATTTCATCAGAAATTATTTATAGACCTTTGATATTGGTACTAAAACCTAGTGAATTCTGACATTCTGAGAAACATTAGCCGAACCTGCAAAGTTTAAGTATTTTAGTGCAAGCATAGTCATCTTTCTAACTACAGAGCGTTAACTTGTCCCAGGGAGATTTTCAGTAATAGAGACAGTGCAGGTGCAACTGGCTTAGACAGCAAAAGACTGATGTTGGTTTTTATGCATCAGAAGTTTCCAGTCTTCATTTTTCTTTACACATCAGTAGACCTGACATGATGGTGATCTAATGTTTCTCTGATCTGTGGAATTATGAGAACTTTTCTTTAAGTTTTTTTACTGTTATCCTCATGGAAGTAAAACCATATTTGTCTTTTAAAAGTAGTCTTGAATTTGTTATTCAACAAGCTTAATTTGTAATGTTAATTTTATAATTCAGTTGCTGCTGGTGACCTGTAAATAATATTTGCTTGTTTTTAATCACAATAAGATAGTTGAGTTATGCATTCAAGCTGTCTTCAGAAGTGGTTGTGCATGCTATGATTTGCTCTCTCTAGAAATATTTGCTATAATTCCTATTTCCTTTATTCCAGAGGAAAAGAAATCTAGTCTTACAAGCAATGCCATGGATGCACAAGTTCTGCTTAGTATTTCTATCCTTTATCTATCCTGGAAAATAATTTCCTTAATGCCCTTATGTATTTAGTTGAACTTACATGTTGTCAAGACATAGTGTACCTGGAAAGGAAGGAAAAAGTATTTTAATATACTAACTCTGATATTGTAGCTACCATAGCAATGCAGATACATTAGACCATTAAGCTAATTTAATTAACTTGATGTTTTTCAACATTAAGAATGAATTTCCCATCCCACAAGGCTAATCAGTGCAGTGAGAAAGTTATCCTAGTATGAATACTTTACTTCTAGTACGCTTCCTTTCCTACCAAGAATGGAATTTTTGTAGTTCTGGACTTGCTCTTCCACAAATTTTCTTTTTCTTTTTTTCTCAGATTATTTTGATTGTATTGGATTGTTAATGAGATGTCCAAAACTGAACATTATTTCAAGACTATTTACAATCCTAAGTTATGGAGAAGACCAGATCTCTAACCCATGTTGTGATGATATCCACCTATTTTAATATGTTTTGACATGAAGAGCCTATTTTTGTCCTAGGATCTCTTGTAGCAGTGCAAGAACACACTTGGGAAATTACAAGTTAATTAGGAATGGCAGTAATAATACTTCAGACATAACAATAGCAATCTTCCATCCAAGTTAGTTAAGCAAACATTTTAGTCTGAAATATAAAGTAGTCTTAATTTATTCCTTGTAGAGAGAGCGACAGCCTAGTCATTCTTAAAACCTCTTTTTTTCCCCTGAAAAATGTTAATCCAAAGAGTAGAAATAAGCCTGTCAGCAGGTAACTCAAATTTACAGAAGTTTTTGATTCCACCTCTGAGAACACTTAAAACTGTACGTTTAGTAATATAAAACTCAAGGTACTACCATTTTGAAACCTCTTAGTTGATTTTTTAGCATTAAAGCAAGGTACTGGAATGCTTTTCTTTATTTAATCTTGTGCTGGACTTGACACGCTCATTGATGGTCATTGAAGACCAGAGAGAGGAAGAATGGGGAAATCGACACAAAGTAGCAAGTCAGAAGGCAGAATGAAAAGTTTGATTGACCTTGAGCTTTACAAATTGTGTTTCAGACCATGTACAACTCCTTAAAAGAATTAGAAGTGACAACAATGAAAACAGAGGATCTTAATTAAAGTGCACAAGCAATAAACATCAACATTTATAGATTTACTTAATGCTTTAAAGAAGATTATAGTAGTTATCTGTATCTTGCTTTCAAGTAACATTCTATAGGCAGTTTCTGCCCTAGTCAGATGTGAAATTATGTTTAGAATAG